CATGTAAATGTTTTACTCAGTATATATACAACATCCAATGGATAGAGTATTAACTGGAATATCGAATTAGGCAGACCATCCAACCCCTTCTTTAACCAGGCTGGATAAACAAGAATTTATACTACTTAAAAGAACAGCATGTACTAACATAAAAATCATTCACCATCAAATGTCAGCACTGAACATTCCCCTGAAACAAAGATGACTAAAGCTTATCCAGTTCCATCTCCCCAGATGTTAAGTTCCCAACCCAAACTGCCCTTCCACGCAGACCCATATACTGGTGACCACGGCCACTTGTGCCCCTGTTGCATTCCTCAGCCCGTGCCCCCACCTCTCCACAGGCATAGTCCCCTCCCCTGTACCTGCTTAGTTCCTGAGGGACTAGCCCACCCCATCCCCTCCTCCAGACAGTTCACTGGATTAGACAAGCAGATCTTGAAGCTCCCTATGCTTATCATTTTGGGGGAGAAACCAAGATGGGCTCCCCCAGAGTGCTTGCCCTCAGCAAGCTGGGGACATATTCCCAGAGAATGCATCAGTGCCTAAGAAAATTAGGTGGATCAAGGGCTGGGGCACACTGCTGCCAGGCACGGGGAGTCAGAAAAACACAATGAGGAAATAGCTCCTTGGAGGACCAAGCACTGGAGCTGGGTCTTAAAGCGGTGTAGGATTTGGTCATGAGAAGGTCAGGGCATGGGATGGGCCACGGGCTGGTCCAGGGAATGGACAGTCCTTCAGTTTGACTGGACAGTTACGTGTACACAGCAAAGTCTGGTCTATAGGCGGGCTGCATATGGAAAGGCAAGCAATGCAGACAGCTAACATTCATGGAGTACTTACTATGTGCCATGAATAGCTTCATGTATTTTTAATGTTTTAACTCATATAATCCACACTGCAACTTTTAGATATAAGGACTGCAGGGATTCCAGTTTTATAGATGAGGATACCAAGACAGAGAACAAAGCAACTTGACCACAAGTCATAAACCAGGTAAGAAACAGGATATGAAATCTGGCTCCAAAGTCTGTGCTTAAGCACCCAACCAAACTGCCACGCAGGACAGCTTGGCTGTGAAAGGGTATAGGCACCAGGGTATTAGGAGGAGGATGGTGCTTGCAAGCAGTTTGCAATCCGTAATTCCAAGGCCACAAATGCTGGCTACAGGCTGCTGTTAGTGTGTGCAGTGAACCTGCTTGCAGGTGAAGCAGGGGACTGGTGAAAAGCTCCCTAAAATGGGATTCTGGGCAAGGGGGATAATACAAAGAGTGGAGGCCAGGACAGACACCTACCTCTTAGGGTATGCAGGAAGAGAACCAAAAAAAGCATCATGACCCAAAGGTACAGGAAGGAAGAAATTTCAAGGAGAGAAAGAAAGGTGGGATAAAAACTGCAAAAGCCAAGAACAATCATTTTGGACTAAGAACAGGCCCCTGGAATTCAGGGTTTAAAGTTTTTTAGAGATTTTTGGAAAGAACTATAGAGAAGGATGGTAGAGAAAGAAGCCAGAGGCCAGGAGCTAAGGATAGAGCAGATGAGAAAGAGGTTATGGTGAATGTTCCTAGCCTGTGAGAGGCTGCTGGGCAGGGAGGAGAGCGAGGGACACAGACTCAGGGGACCAAGTGTAGACATGTGAAAGGGGGCCTGTAACAGACCTGTTTCGCCACCCTCCATCCTTCCTCTCCTACATCAAGGCAGAGGTTTTACTGGGGTTGGAGATGAGGCTGAAGGAAAAAAACAGCATGAAAGATATTCCGGCGAGAGGGCTCTGGCAGCAGCGGGAGGGAGTGGCAGCAGGCACCGAGGGAGGGCTTCCGAGTGCCAGGCATTTTACATGCATCATCTCCCTTGCTCCCCTGATCTTCATACAGATTCCATGAGGCAGGCACTGTCATTATACCACAGAAAAAGAGCCTGCAGCCAGAGGAGCCAAGCACTTTCCAAGGCCACACAGCTGAAGCCCAAGTTCTAAGTTCTGCTACTGAGTTCCAGGCATTCACCCAAAGTGAGGGTCCAAGAAGAGGGAACAGAGGAAAGAGTCACTTGCTTTCTCTGTACTAGGAGGAGACATGAGGGAAAGACACAGGACATTATGGGCAGAAAGGAAGAGATACTGAGGGAGCTTAAGTCAGAGCAGATCAGAGAAAGAGAGAGGGAGGGAGAGAGAGAGAGCGCCCCTCCAGGTGAGTACACAGCAGGGGTGGGGGGGATTTGGGGAAAGTATAAGTATTGTAATAAAATGGCAATGTGGAGAGAAAGAACTTCTCTCTTTGTGGAGAGAAGGGTGACATGCCTCTGTTTCTGGGCTCCTAACTAAACCTTAAGGTTTGCAAAGGATTTTTTTTTTTTACTTCCCTGCAAATGTTTACCATGACACTGCCTATAACTGTATCATTGGAAGGGGCAATGTTTCTTTAATATTGACTTTCTTCCACCACAGTGAAAGGTGATGATGGAAATGGCAAATGAAAGTAAGCTCGGAGAAGGAAGGCAACCCTTACACGTTCTTAAAGAGTTGTCGAGTGGACACAGCCAAGTTTTTCTACAATGTTTGTCCATCATTTAGTATATCAATTGGGTAGAGGTTGTGGGTGTAGAGGGATAAATCTGAAAGCACAGCCACTTCCTTATCCTCCCTGTGGTAGGCAAACCTCTTTTGCAAATAGCAGAAAAACTCCTAAGAAGTCATCATTTTATAAATCATTTGAAATGGAGTCTTTAAAACACCATCTGTTGATCTGTTTAAGCTATGAAAACAGGATTTCAGCTCAGATATTCTGGAGGTTCCAGCAGGTAAAATGTCAACCTGAATTCAAATGTATTAAACATTTAAAGATACACAGAACTTTATAGTAGAAGGAACCTTTGAGATCACCTATTTCAACTACCTTACTTTTCATCTGAAGCACATAGAAACCAGAAAGGTTCAGCAACTTGTCTCAAGTGGCATAGCCGTGAAAGCCCAAGTCTGGGCTGGGACCACGATGTGTTAACTCTAGGGCTAGTGCTCTTCCACCACACTTATCCTTTCCTCTTTCCCTCATTTTAAATTTTATGGGTTGGAATAATGTGCATACTTAACGATAGTTTTAACTTATTGTCATTATTCACTGGCTACATTTACAATCAAAACCAAAATGCCTCTATAGATCCAGCTTCAAGCAATACAATTTCAAATCATGCTCAGGAAACTTTAAAGCCTTCTAAATATGTTTGTTCATCAAACTGCTTTAGAGACTTATCAATAGAGTGAACTCAGTAACAGAGCATGGACCAAAGCATTCAATTTTGGACTTTAAAAAATAATTTTGGAATTTCATTGATATGGAAATCAAATTTAACAGCAGTGATTTCTTTTTTCTTGCAAGCATAGAGAGCATGAGATTATTCAAAACTGCTCAGGAGCAGCAATGATTATTTTAAGCTCATGATTCAACCGGTACATTAATTAAGAACTCTATCAACCCAAATTGACAGATCCTGATATCAATGGGACCAGAAAAATTAAAATAATAGTTGTCATATAAAAATAGATTAAAGAGGGGAACAGCAGCAAATGTCAGAAGGGCAAATGACAAGCAAGTACTAGAGCAAATGAGATGCATTTGATCAGCAGTTTTTCTGGATTTTTTTTTTTAAAGAAGACCCTGGAAATACAGGTACAGTCAAGAAATGCTTCGTGGATATCAAATCTTTTTTTCTGGAAGTTGGGTGATAAAACTTGGCTAATCTTTTCTTGCTTGGGAGTAACTAAGCAGAGAGAAAAAGCCGCAAGCGCCAAAATGACAAAACAACGCTGTACGCACGGGAAGAAGCCTAGCCGGTGAGGGAGGAGAAAGGGGACAAGGAATGTGGGGTGCGGGGTGTCAGCCTGATCCCCGCGCCAGCCAGGATAAACTTGACAACAGATACCAACAGCCGGTGTAGCCCTTCCTTCCCCTGCGCCTACCCTCTAGCACCTGCGTGTGCCCCGCAGCCCGCTCTCCAGACCCCTCGGCGTGGTTGACTCGTGCCCTACTAGGTGGGCATTAATTTCTGTTATACTTCTTCCTCTGAGCAAACGAAAGCTCTTTTGGCTGTCAACGCCCGGCAATCACGAGCGGGAACCTTTTTTCTTCTGTGACATCTGTCAAACCTGGTGCTAGAGCCAGCCTCTCTGCGCCCTCCGCGGCGCTCCAGAGCTCCAGGACCGGCGGTGAGCCCACACCTGGACGCCGGGCGACCAACCCGCGCTGTGAGGCACCTGCTCATATACCCACGGGAGCTACCCCCGGGGCATTCAGAACCCAGACGGCGCAGGCCGTACGAAAGTTCGCAGGTTGGGGTCGACCCCAGATTACCCGGCTGCAGAGCCAGACCCCAAAATAAGGCCGAAGGGGCGGGCAGGCTCGGACTCCCTAAGCCCGACGGAGACGCCCTCCCCGCCCCCACCCAGCCCTGCAGACTCCCGAAAGGGAAGTGAAGGAGACGAGGAGGAAGGGCAGAAGCGGCAACGCTCGCCCAACGCCCTTGGCGGTGCAGCCATCAAGGATAGTCCCCTCCGGGGTTCCCGCAGCTCCACATGATACATCCTAGGACTCGCCCTCAGCCGGTCATTGCTCCCAAAAGACGGAGCTGTCCCTTTAAGAGACAGCTGGCTGCTCCCTACCCCCTTCAGGTAGCGATGCCCGCGAAGGGGAAATAGGTATTTTCCTGGTCCTTTCAGGGGTGCCTGCGGCATCTCTGCCCTCCCTATCCCGCAGCGCCAGCCCGGGTGACGGACGATGGGGACGTACGGGCGCGGCGCCTTTAAGGGGCGCAGCCTCCCCACGGCCCGGGTGGGGGCAGGGAGCGGGCACTGGCCCTTTAAGGCCGGCAGCAGGCACGTCGGGCAGGGTTCCCTGGCGGCCGGGCAGCGACCCGGGCGGCAGCGGGGTCGCCATGCCTGCCAGGGTGCTGACAGTCCCCGACGGGGTGCTCGGAGCCATGCCGCTGACCGCAGCCAGCCCGACACTCACCGTGGCTCGCCGAGAGCGCCCGCGCCCGCGCCCCCACTCCGATCCCGCGGCGGCGGCGGCGGTGAGTCCAGCGCGGGTAAACAGGCACCTCCGTCCCTGACCTACTTTCTGCCTTCCCTAAATGTCGCACCACTAACCTACTTTCCGACCAATCCGCTCCCCGCCGGCCCAGGCCCGGCCCCCCGCCCACCAATCGCTTTGCCCAACCCCCTTTTCCCGCCCACCAATGGAGGAGCCGCGGAGCCCAGATACCTGCCTCTTCCCGCTACCCAATCCGAGAGCCCGAAGAAAGCTGAACTTGGTCGTAGCTCCTGGCCAATCCGCACGCTGCTCGGCGCCCTGCTGGCCAGTTGTGTGGCTGCTGGAGAGACCGCTAGCCAATGGCGAGGCAACGAGGGCCGTTTACCTGCTGCTTTCCCACCACCAATCGCCTGGTACACAGAGGCGCACGCCCCGAGCAGAGGACCAATCTGAGCACTTTCCCTGGATTTCCTCGCTTCGGCCCTCTTTTCCCTCTCGTCTCCCGTTCGCGGCGACCGCTGCGGGTGCGGACTCTGTGCTCCTTGCCATCGTCTGGGTTGTCCCTCTTCCCTGGATTCGTGGCTTGCGTCGGGCTCACCACTCTCACCTCTCCCCCTTCTTCACTCGGGGCATCCGACTAAGAGCAGCATTTTCTCATCCTCCTCCCTCCAAGTCCATCTAGGAAATCAATTTTAGGAACATGAGGACCTAAAACGCCTTGGTTTGCCAGAGTCCAAACGACAGAGCGAATACTTTTATTTCTAGAAGGATTGTTCATGCAAGTGTTCTTTCACTACTCTGACCTCCAAGCGTCCCGTTGGAGCTGTCATTCTCGTTCAAAAAGAAAACTGAAACCTGGAGCTATTCCATGGCATTTTCTTCCAGTAGCTGGGTTTTGATCACCTACTGTGTGTCAGGCACCATCCCAGCAGCCCTGGTCTCTACGGCAAACAGCTGTCCCTGGAGTGAGACAGGAGGAAACAAATAGTTATAGAAAATAAAACATTTTATCATTGTATCTGCATCTGAAGCATTTAGCAGAGGGCCTTTGGCACAAAGAACTTCCAACCCTTCCAGATGTTAAACTCCGTGAATACCAAGACCAGTCTCTTTTTTTATACTCACCCACACCCCTTTAGCCCTATTGGATTAAGATGGAGGGGCGGGGGCAGGGGTCTGTCATAAATATTTGTTGAATGGATAGTGAACAAATGGAGCTAAATCACTCCACTCATTTCTGTGACCCAGACTAGCCCTCTGACTCCAGCATTCTATCCTTATTTCTTGAAACAGACACTGAATTTTAGTCATTATAAAACTGTTGCCCATTTCCAGCTCATGGCCAGAAACAAAGTTGTTGCCTAATAATGCTCGTGACCTGAGTGTTGACTGATTTCAAGGTCAACCAACTTCATTGGTAGCTTATTACTTTTCCTAAGTTTACATGCAAGTAGAATCATACTGCTGTTTACTTTGCCTCTGCTCTGATTTGAAGAGGAAACTGATCTGGGTAAGTGGGATTTTAGCAATACACTTTTTGAGATATTGTAGACAAGATGAAGAAATATGAGCCTAGATTCTAGTATAATTAATTGTGCAAATAACAGTAAGTAACCATAGCCAAAAGATGCTGATTTGTGAATCCATGTTGACCAGAAGAAAGGGTGAAGAAAATCAACATTTGTGCAGCATCTACTCTGTGCTAAATGTGTTCCCTGCATCTTCTCCTTTAATCCTCATAGCCCCATTTTATAGATGAGGAAACTGAAACTGAGTTTAGCCAGCTGGCCCAAGGTCATGCAGTAGGTGGCAGAACCAAAATTCAAACCAGGTTTATTTGACTTCAGAACCTTCATATCACACCAGTTACCATCAGGATGGCATAAGGCTCTCTCCAGGGCCCAGGTGTCAGGACTTGTATTAGTTTTGTGAATGAAACTCCAGAGAATTTGCATCACATTTCCAAATGACATAAAGCCAGGAGGGGAAGACACACCATTACACAACACAGGCCAAATGCAATGTTGTAGCAATGAGCTGACTCTAACAGGGATACATGTGGAGAGTCCCACACTGGGAAACCGACTGCTGAAAGGCAGGCTGGGGGCAGAGGTATCTTAATGTAACAACAAGACTAAAATGGATCTCAGGTGACAGACAACTCAATCTGAGTCCTCAGCAAAATGTGGCTGCCAAAATGAATGAAGGCTGTCTTAGCCTGTGTTGATACAGTGGAATATGACACAAGATGGGTGTTGCAGTGCTGCCCAGTGCTGGTCATTATGCACATGGAATGTTGTTTCCAACTAGGGTTTGGCAAGCAGAAACTTTCTGCATGTACAGAGGGATGTAAAGAGACTGGGAACTACATATGTCATATGAGGAAAGATGAAAGGAAGCAGAAGCTTTTGCCCCAGGGGGTACAATGTAACTGTCTTTACATATTTGAGGAACTGTCAAATAGAAGCTAGATTTATTCTTTAGGATCCTAAAGGGGTTTAAAGGGGACCTGTAGGTAGAAACCCTAGAATGAATAAGTATGAAGAATTTACTAACAACTAGAGCCTCTTCTACCTTAATATGTTTCTTGTCACAGAAAGTGTCCAGTGAGAACTGGATGACCGTGTGGCAGGGGTGGGGCTGGAATGGGTGTCTGTGTAAGCCTTTGTGCCCCTGACATGATGTGGTTCTATCCTCATACCTCGGTTTTCCTCTTTTCCTATCCTTACAATAACCCTGTGACTTCAGTGTTATTGTGAACTTCAGTGTGAACTATTTCTGCTCACATGCAGCTGTCCTTCCATGAGTAAATGATACTTTCTTTTTATTTCTCTTCACTAGAAATCCCCCCAAACCTTCATCTTCCGTTGATACCTAATACCCCTTTATGTCTACCTTCCAGAATATTATATTTTTAATTCTCCAGGAACGGTTAAAGGTCATAATATTGTCCTCAATATAAAATTCACTGGGTATGAATAGACTCATATGGACAAAGTGAAGGGAAAAGGAAACATGCATTGAGCACCCACTGTGTCAGCCTTAAGTGTATTAACAAATAGAATCTTCACATTAACCCCAGCAAACAATGTGCTTGCTCTCCACACTTGCTAACTGAAATGACTTTTATCAACTAATTTAATCTCTGTACCCGAGTTTACTCATATGTAATATGAGAATATTTTAGTATCTACTTCACAGGATTGTTGTGAGAATTAGATGAAATAATAGAAAGCCCTTAGCACAGTGCTTGGCACACAGTAAAGATTCAGTATATATTAGACTAATAATGATAGAAAATATCATTGTTATTTTACTGCACCATTTTAGAGATAAAGTTAGTGAGTGAAAGTAGTGTAATCCACACTACTTTTACTCAATTTCCCAAGCTCTGATTCAATGGTTAGGTCCATTATTAGAATTAACTAAGCAGTTTTCTAAATTACAGATTCCTGAGTCCCATTCTGAAAGATTCTGATTCAATATCGATGGGATCTGAGACACAGTCACATTGGGGAACTTCCAGTCTAATGGGACAAATAAGCACAGGCTATGAAGTCAGACAGACCCAAGGCCAGTGGCGAAGCCCATGACAGGGCCAGGGAGTTCTGCAGTTGGACTTTCTTTGGAAGGAAAGTGGGAAGTCCTGAGACTGATGTGTTCAAGTTCTTTTGGAAAATCAAGATGAAATGTGTTGCTATAAATAAAAACAGCAATATTTTCTGCAGGTCTACAATGTGTGGAGCACTGTTCTAAGAGCTTTATATGCATGACCTCATCCAATTTTCAGAAACCCCTATAAGGTAAGCAATCCAATTGTTCCTGTTTTACAGTTGGGAAAGCGGAAGCACAGAGCAGTCCTGAGGTCTCAGGCTACGTAGGTAGTCTGACCCCAGAGCTCACACTCTTACCTACTTCAGTAAATTACCTCATCCTTTTGGAAAATTCCTCTGGAAAACAAAGAAACTTAATAATTTAGAGACATACAGCATGGGGCAAAAGTAAGTTTATAGTTGTGGGAGTATGCAAAACACATTTATTCTTGTATTATTATTTATTAATTATTGTATTATTTTTGACACGAACAGCTATAAACCTACTTTCACCCACCTTTGTATATTCAGGAGACATCAATTCAAAGGTGGTGAGAGTGTTACTTTCTAAATTCTCCAATTGATTAGGGTTTCATGTGGGGAAAAAGAAAACACCCAGGACCGTGTTTCAAAAATAGGGGTGTTGCCTCACATTTAGGGGATGCAAGAGACAAGAGCCTCTTCCGCTAACTTAAATGCACAGGGAGAGATTTATTGAGAGGGGATGAGGGTGTCTTGTGGAACCCTAGAGTAAGGGACCAGCAAGTCCTCACGAAGGACTGTGAGAACTGAGGCACCCTGGGGCGTGAAGCAGTTCTCACCTCCTCCTCTCTCTGTGGTCATGTGGCCCCTGGACTCATCTTTCTTCTGTCTGTCTGCTTTCTGCTTCTCTTTTTCTGTAGCTCTTGGCCCTTCAACCCATTTGTACATGGGCCTTCATGAATGCTCTCAACTGCCAAGAGGAAAAGGGAAAGGAAGAGGGAGGAAGACGGGAGGGGGGAGGAGAGGAGGGGAGCAGAGGAGAAGGGAGGGGAGGAGAGAGGAGGTTCAGACAGGTAATTCTCAAAGTGGAGGGCATGGGCTGAGCAACGTTTCCCAAAGGTACTTACTGAAGTGCACGAAGAATCAGATCAGAAGAAAACACAGAGTGATAAGAGCCAAAGGAGGAGAAGCAAGAAGTGAAAAATGAGATTTGGAAAACTTTGGAAGAAAGTCTCAATGGATAGGTTTGGAGCAAGATAAAGGGAACTTACACTTCAGAAAAAGTTTTGGTAAGCACAAAAGAGGTTCCACTGGAAGGAGGCTGTTTTTCTAAAACTGCTTTTAGAGCCAGAAGGTCCACCTGAGGAGGAAGGGGAAGTCAGGGACAGAAACGAGTGAAGACTCTCTGTTGCCAGAGTGCAGGTCACTTTTCAAAGGCATTTGTTATTTAAGAAAAAATTAGAAGATGAACCACAACTATCTCTTAGTAGTGAACCCAGATGAAAATAGGTTATGTTTACATGTGTTT